GAAGGGTCACATGGAGCATTTAATTCACAACGGCTGGCAGGAGGTGCTGCCATGAAGGGAAACTCGAGTGTCCCAGCCATATAAACATCCCATGTGGCCCAGGGCCTGCCAGGGACGGTCTGACAGGAGAGGGAACTCTCCGCTTGGCAAGAACTAAGCTCCCCAGATCATTAAGGGCTGCACCCACTTGCAAAAAAACTACAGATATGGTGCAAAGGACAGAACTCACAAGATAATCTATGGATATCATTCTTGCTACACAGCTTACAGTGCGGCCTGGGCCCTCCTGCGCTGCCTCCTGCGAGCCATGGTTGTTGATATTCCAGTCAGCTTCCTGCAGACCCCTGGCCTCTCTCCCCTGTGGCTTACCCACTGGTTTGTAGCTTCCTTGGGTTACATGCTTTAAAGCTGCCCCCACGCTCCTGTTGTGTTCACAGCTAATGGGTTGGGCGTGATCCAAGGCAGATGCCCAAATGCCTCTGTGGGTCCCTGTGCCCGGACACTGTGCCCGGGCAGCTGACACAGCAGAACTTCTGTCCTTGTCCTCATCAGCTAAGGAAAAAACTAATCACTTATCAGCGCGGCTTCTTACCGAAATGGAGGAACTTGGGCTCATTCGAATGCTAAAGTGTCCAATTCTTATCCTGCCAGCGTCACACTGAAACACGAAAGGCACAGGGTCTTCTGGAGTCCTTTTCTGAGTCCCAGGGGCCTTCACACCTGGGACATCCTTAGATTACTGAATGTGTGCTGCCCTGAGTGGTGGTGGGGGACCCAGGGGCGCCAAAGGCTTCTAGTTCCCCCCAAACCTGGTGGGATCCCCGAGGCATGGGCTTCTCACAGTGCTACACCCGCACAGCAGCCTGACCTCCCTTCCCCATAGTCACCAGTGTGACAGTGTGGCCTCTGCAGACCAAACCCAGCATCCCACGGGGGCCAGACAGAGAAAATGGAAAGTGAGGCCCTACACTGTCTGGACATCACTTGGAAGTCATGGCTTACACCCCATTTGCCACTACAGAAAACACAATCAAATATTTTTGTGCTCTAAAATACTCCAGAGGCTTCCGGAATGCGCTAGATTTCCTGACTGCCTATCTGGGCCTGAAGGACCTTGCAATACTGCCCAAGAGCCAAGCCGGAGGAGGATGTGCTACTTGGGTGGAGTCTATCGTGCTGCTTTCTCATGGCTCTCCCCAGTCCTGTCAGCAGGCTGCTCCTATAGCAGGACACGCACAAGCCCCGTTTCCCCCCCATCACGGCCCTTGGAGCCAGAACAGTCATCCTGTTGCTCTCTGTCCTCCTAGGCCATGGCTGGGGAACGAGTCTGGGAACAAGACTGAGGAAACCCTGAGGACAGGACATGGGACTCAAGCCCCGGAGGGAAGGCTGCAATCCTCTCTGTATAAACCCTTTCACCCTGCACACAGAGCTTGGCATGGCCTGGAGCCCAGGGAGGACAGCGGCCATGCCAAACATAGTGGCTATGCTAGGACAGTAGCCTTGCAGGGGACAGTGGCTGAGCTGGGGGTAGCAGTCATGCTGAGAGACAGCCATCAGGCTGGGGACAGCAGTTACACTGAGTACTGCGTGTGCTAGGATGGCGCCTGCCAAGAGCAGCCCTGTCCATCAGGAGACCCGAAGCCCTGCTGCTTAGCCTGCAACTTCCAAAGCACAGGACAGCAGGAGTTCCCTGGCCAGGTGAAGGAGTCCCTCTGGACAGACGTGTCCTACATCCGCAGGGCACGCGGGATGAATTCTTTGCCAACCCAGACTTTGATCTGCATGTTGCCAAGGCGAGCCAAATGCAGCAAAGAAGACAGAGCAGATGACCAACGGCATGGGCTCCCTGTGACCCAAGGAATGGTGCCAACATACACCTCCGGCTCGCTCAGCAACAGCATCTGTCTAGAATTGGGAGCACAGTACTGGGATAGTGGCAGGTGATAGAGAGGAACCCAAAGCTGCCACAGTGAAAGGGGGCCTCTTAAAGAGACAGTCAAAAAAAACCAGTAATACAAAGCTTATGTATTTGGAGGGAACTGTGATTGTCTGAGATGAAGGGAGGCACTAGAAAAGGGACCTCACTGTCTGGGCTCCAAAGCCAGAATCCTCCATGGACAGTGGCAATGTATACAGAAGAGACTAGTCCCCACATCTAGTCCCCACATCACTGACCAAGGGGGCACTACTCACCCTTGCCCAAGGATAGGAGCGTCTGAAACCCCTTTGCTAGTTGAATGGGGGGTGTCCTCCAGGAAGCCCTGTCTAAAGATCCTTCTAGAGCTCCCATCTTTCAGCATCGCAGAGCTTCCAAACACTCCAAGGATGGTTGGCGGGAATAAGGGTTGGCCATTTGTATCGATCCAATTTTAACTAATATTAATAAATTCAGATTAAGCCAGGCATGGTGTTGCATGCCTGTCATTGGCATTCGGGAGGCCGAAAGGGGAGGATAAAGAGTTTGAAAACAGTATGGGGTGCGTAGGAAGGCCCCTGTCTCAAACATGCTGCACCTGACAAGTGGCTCTGGAAGCTCAGTGCATTTCAGTCACCGTTCAGGGGAGAGCGCCCTGCAGAGAACTACTAGAAGCTCCACATTGCGGCTCTTGGTTCACGAAAGGCTCCTTGGGAAACAGAGATGACTGATACAATTTACAACATATAGCCGGGATGACAGGTGGTGCTCACTGTGAGATCTCCAGCCCCTGGCGGAAGCAACACAGGGCTGGAGAAGAGAGGCCTCCAGAGGAGTTTTTTATAATTTTATGCGTATGGGCATTTTGCCTGGAATCTGTGTACCATATGTGTGCAGTGCCCAGAGGGGCCAGAAGAGGGCACTGGATCCTCTGGAACTGGAGTTACTAACGGTTGTGAGCCCCCAAGTGAGTGCCGGGAATTGAACCCAGGTATTCTAGAAGAGTAGCCAGTGCTCTTAACCACTGAGCACTCACTCCAGCCCTTCCAGAAAAGTCTTCACCCAGTGAATCTGACGCCTGCTCTGTGCTACCTCCCCAAATGAGCCTTCATTCTTTGCAATAGCAAAAGAGAAGACGGAAGGCAGGGCCGCAGTGACACCACAGGCTCCCGGGTCCCTGCACCGCCAGGTAAGCCGGAGTCTGCCAAGTGCAAAGAACACAAACAAATGATGACTGGGCAATGGTTTTCTTCTAAGTTCTGGAAGCTCCTGCCTAGAGGTTTTCCACTGCTCTGGTTCCGTAGCTCAGCATTCAGAAATCCAAGTCCCTCTGTATCTCACCTCCTCCTCCACATGCCTAGAACCCTGGGGATACCCCACTACCCAGATTCCAAGATGGGGCAGCCACTGCCAGGCACAGGCCTGAAGATGTGGAGTACCTGCTAGTGCTCATCATGTCTGCCCATGACATAGTCACAGCTCTGGGGAGTGCCGGCAGGGAGTACCCAGAGTGCCTCGGACTTGATTTTACCAGTAACTGCCAGAATCCTCTGCACCAAGGAGCAGGGATCCCATCCAGATACAGGAGTCAGGACCTCAAGGTTTCAATATTCATAACCAGAGAAAATAATCTTGTTGCAATTTCAGATAAGCAAGGTTTACTAAGAAAAGAGGGTTTGTTCCCTGAAGTGCTGGGGAACACGGGATTCTCCCGGGGACTTGGATACAAGAAACAAGAAGCAGATACGAATGTCCTGGATCATTGTGTCCTGCGCGGCGGTGCTGGCCCTGCCCTCAGCTATGTGGGAAAGGCTCCGTCAGCACAGTTGGAGTCACTTTGCTTTACACAGGTATCTGCCTACTCAGAGAACTAACAATGATGGGAACCGCTTACGGTGGCAGCAGATTGATGGCCTTGAGCTTGCCAATGGATCTCCATTTCCAGCACTGCAGGGCACTCTCAGTATGGGAGGCTAAGAACACGGGTCAGACAATGACTTGGGACTCAGACCTCACGGCTGAAGCCACATAGGGTAGGCAGGGTATGGCCCAGATACGTACATAGCATTCGGGGAATGAAGTGGGGTCAAGGTACTTCCTATGGGGTCCTTGGACCACAGAATTGCGAGGCAGTAAAGACATCCTCCTTCATCACCTCACTCTCCTGACAAAGCAGCCTTGTCTTCTGTTGCAGGACTCCGGAGGTGGGTCAACTTACAGACATGCAAGTGCCCAGATTCTCAGCTTCCCAGACACTTGGGGGCCGGCCTCAGCCACACTCCAGTGATCGTCACCTGGCGCGGGCTGGGAGGATCCAAAATGCTTCCCTAAGCAGCACTGATGCCCTGAACAATGCCCTCTACCTAGACCCTTTCCTATGAACACACCTGTGAGTGGCTCAGTGAGCCACAGGACACTCACAAGACACCCGTGGGGGAGGGACCTCCTATACTTTTCCCAAGTGCCTACACTGGCCATCACCCTCAGTAACTCCATTATTTTATCTTATTTCTTGGGACAGGGTCTCACTGTGTAGCCTTGGCTACCCTGGAATTCACTATGGAGACCAGGCTGGCCTCGAACTCACAGAGCTCTGCCTGCCCCTGACTCCCAAGTGCTGGGATTATAGGTGTGCACTACCGCAACAACCATCTTCTTTTCAAGATTTTCTTATTTTTATTGGATGTGTATGAGTGCTTTGCTTGTATGCTTGTCTTTGCACCACACAGAGGCAGGAGACACTGGATCCCCTGGAACTGGAGGTACAGGCGGTAATTAGCCTCCAAGTGGGGGCTGGGAACCAAGCCTGGCTCCTCTACAAAAGCAGCACTTAACCTCTGGGCCACCTCTCCAGCCAGCATCTCCACTGTTGTGCAGGGCAGTTGCTGGAGGCACCCCAGTCCCTCACCTGGGAGCCCCCAGTCACAACCCACCCCGGCTGTTCATGCCTAACAGGGCCAACCTGTCAGGACTCACCAGCCTGCTAACAAACTGTAGAACCACCCACATACCCTGAGAGCCAGCAGCAAGTATTTAAACATGAGATAAACTCCCCTCCCCCAAAACGCACAGAAATACATACCCCAACACACAAGGCAAGCCCTCGCAGAGTTTTTTCTGCATGATTGTCACTTACCAAAAGAATACCTGAAACACACACAAAAAAAGAAAGAACATTAAAATGTTGGGTTGGCTTTAAATGTTAAACCGTTATGTTTACCCACTGAGAAAAACCCAGACACGTGAACTCAGGCCAGTGTGGGGCAAGGGCGGACCAGCCACCAGGCACTGAGTAGACTACGCTGAGTGAGACAAGGCCAGCAAAAGATAGCGTAGAGTGAACAGACACAAGGTTCGTTTTTCCTGAAGGAAAACGGATTCTAACTGACTGCCACTGCAAATGTTGTATCCTAGGACCTGAAGCTCAGGGGTTCCTGGTGACGTAGATCACTGTAAGGGGGGGCTCCGTCAAAGGAATGTGGTAGGCTCTGCTGCCACTGTGTAACTTTACTTGGAAGTCACGTTGGGAAGATGCCTGGTGCTGGCATGCTGGGACACAGAGCATCACACGTGCTGGGTGTGCTGGTTTGAGTGAGTCTCATAGATCTGAACGCTTAGTCATCACGGAGTGATGATATTAGAAAGGATTCTGAATTAGGAGGTGTTAAGGTGGGTATGGTGGTGTATTACTTCATCCTAGCACTTGGGAGGCAGAGGCAGGTGAATCTCTGAATTAGAGGCCATGATTTCCAGGACAGCCAGGACTATCCAGGAAAATCCTATCTTGAATAACAAAAAACAAACAAACAAAACAACCAAAAAAAAAACCAAACAAACAAACAACACAAAAGGAGGTTTGCACTTGTTGGAGGAAGTGGGTGAGCTTTGAGGTTTCAAAAATCCATGCCAGGTTAGGCTCTCTCTCTCTCTGCTCACAAATCAGGATGTAGCTCTCAGCTCCTGCCCTAGTGCTAGCCTGCATGCATGATGATGACAGGCTTCACCTTCAGAAGCGAGGCCCCAGTGAAATGTTTTCTTTTATGAGAGTTGCCTTGGTCATGGGGTCTCTTCACAGTAATAGAACAGTCAGTAACACTGAGCTGTACCCCCAGGGCCCTGCCCCTGATGCCATCTGTGTCAAACATGGACATCTATGATATTTTGAAAGAAAGACACACTGATACATGCTACACAGGGTGAGCCTTAAAACACCATGCTGAGGGCGAAGCCAGACTTCTGTCCACAGGAAATACCTGGGGCAGTTAAGCACCGTGAACATAAATGGAAGCCACAGGCAGAAAGCAGCTACCAGGGGCTTTTGGAGGAGTGAGTTGATGGACTAAGATACAGGGTTCTTAAACAGAATGGTTTAAACTTTACGGCAAAGTTTTAGCACCCTGAATACATAAAAACCACTTACTTGCAAAGTGTAATTTTGGTTTGTTTTATTTCATTTTGAGACAGAGTCTTGCTTTGTGGCCAAGGCTGTCCTGCAACTCACTGTGTAGCCCGGGTTTGTTTTGAACTTGCAGTTTTCCTGCCTGACCGGAGCCTGAAGCAGTGACCAGATCCCTTGAGCATGCTACTACATGTCCATAGAGGAGATATTTAAGTGGACAGCATGCTTGCTAGCTCATACAGCTAACCCCAGAAATACCCTATGTGAGAAGTTCCCTAAAGAGTAACTTCTCAGAACATGGGCGGGGCTGGAGAGATGGCTCAGGGAATAAGAACACTTGCTCTGTAAGCATGAGGACCCAAGTTTGAATCCCAAGAACCTGAGTAAAAACTGGGTATATGAATGTATGTGTTTGCAACTCCAGCACTCGCCCACTCACACACACACACACTCACACTCACACACACACACACACACACACACACACACTCACATGCATACATACATGCACTCACTCTCACTCGAGCATGCTCACATACTTTCTTAAGTTGTTTTTGTGAGGAACTTTATCATAACAAGGAGAAAAATAATTAACACAGGTACCAATCCCCTCATCCACTTCCCATGTTTCAAGGTCAAGTCCCTCCGACCTCAGTGTTCCCATTAGCTACTCCATGAATTCTGTCTCCATTGCCTCAAAACTAACAGCTCAGGCAGGCTGGCAGCCTGATATATGTTAGGCAACATAGATCTCCAAGCACAACTGCACATTTTATCCCCAAAGGGAGTAGCCAGCGTTGGGCTGAAAGGTAACAGCAGCCTCTACCCAGGCTTAATAATGACCCCTGAACACGCTCCTGCTGGCACGTCAGTGGCCAGAAGGTAGTTATATGTCTGAAGGGCTAGGTGACAGGCTCTACTTACCAGATCTGCCCTACGTTGACCAGGGACATGTAGAGGACCCAGAGGGCAGCCATGAGTATCATGTTGGCACAGCCGGTCACCAGGACAAAGGATGAGAGGCCCAGCCCGAGGACAGCAAGGAGGTCCAGGTTGAAGTTCATGTTTGACCAGTCCAACAGCCACATAATAGTTGGAGTATAGCTCCAAGCAGCCCAGCCGGTCTTGCCCTGGAAGTACTGCTGGACATTCTTCAGGTACAATCTGCAGGGCAGCAGGCCCTGGTCACCAATGAGGGCCTTGTTCTGATTGAATGCCACCAAGAAGGCCACAACTGGAAGACATACAAATGCAGGAGCTGTGAGTAGGAACAGACCACCCCTTCGTGGGCGCAGGGGTCCCTCTGGGAAAAGGAGGTATTAGTAGCTAGGTGACATGAGGACAGGTGACACAAGCAGGAATGGATTCCTAGGGACACAAGTGGACATGGGTAAGATCATCTTCCATGGACACAAGGGGACGCAGGCAAGAACAGGAGAAAAGGCCCTCTTGGGTTAACAGGATATGACAAGGTAACGGTAAGGTCACATGTACCGGTTTTCCTTCTGTTGCTGTGATAAGCACCATGATCAGAAGCAAGTTAAGAGAGGGAATGGTTTGTTTCAGCTTACACTTCCAGGTCACAGTCTATCATTGAGAGAAGTCAGAACAGGAGCTCAAGCAGAAACAATGAAGGAACATTGCTTACTGCCTTGCTCTATGGATTACACTCAGCTAGCTTTCTTTTACAACCCCGGACCATTTGCTTTGGGATGGTACCAACCACAGCGGGCTGGGCACTCCTATATCAACTAGCAGTCATTGTCATTAGTGCCCTCCAATGTGCCCACAGGTCAGTCTGAAGGGGCAGCAGTTCTTCACCCAAGATTCCTGCTTTCCAGGTGACTCTACATTAAGTCAAGTTGACAGTAAAAGCAATCTGCCACAAACAGCAAATGGTCCTGTGAACATAAGAGGATACAAGCAGAAAAAGGCTCTCATGGGCCACATATTTTTCACTGGAGGCAGCACACGTGATTTGGTGCCTGCGAGTTTAAATGAGAAATGTCCTCCATAGTCTCAGGTATTCGAACCCTTGGTCCCCAGTTGTTGGCGCTATTTAGGGAGGTTTAGGTGGTACAGCCTTGTTGGGGAAAGGACGTCGCTGGGGAAGGCTCTGAGATGAAATGCCTCATGCCATATCCTATTCACTCTCTCTGCTTTCTGCTTGCCACTGAATATGTGAGCTCTCCATCCACGGGACAGACCTGGCCACTCCCCGCCATACATGTAACAGGTTTACAGCTTCGTCCTCATGTGGAACCTCTAACAGCAGAAGAAGCGACTGTCTCTGACTCTGCTGCCTGCCTTTGGATCCCTTTCCCCTAACTGGACAGCCTTGTCTGGTCTCAATAGAAGAAGATGCGCCCAGTCCTACTTGACACGCCAAGGCAGGCTGATACCTACGGGAGGCCTCCCCTTCCCTGAGAAGAAAGGGAAGGGCCTAGGAGGAGAGAAGAGGGGAGGGACATGGAGGGAAGAGGAGGGGAAGGGACTGGAAGGAGAGGAGGAGGGGAACTTCCAATCAGGATGTAAATTAATTAATTGATTAAGGGGGGAAAAAAGAAAAAAGAAAATGTGAGCTCTCAGCTTCTTGTCCCTGCTGCCATGCTTATCCTGTGCTGTCACGCTTATCCTGTGCTGTCACCTCCCACAACCACAGTGGAGTCTTATCCCTCTGTAACTATAACCCAAACAAACTCTTCCTTCTGTAAGTTGCCTTGGTCACAGTGTTTCATCACAACGGAAAAGTAACTAACCAAGTACCTAAGCTACACACACACACACACACACGCACACGCACACGCACACGCAGGATCCTGGGGACTTCTGGAACACAGCCTGGAAAAGGCAAGCTGTATGTACATAAGTATACTATGTCTGCTCTCACGGGATGTGCAAGCAAGCAAACTGACCTTGCTTATTTAAGCCCGTGCTGGGTTATGTGAGCACTTGGCATTAGCCATCATGGAATGTTCTAGTCACTTGGTGCCATCAATAGCCCTGCTCCCTAGGGCCAGCTGCCTCTGCTACTTACAAAATTGTAACAGACCAACTCAAGCTCTGAGTCCATTTCTAGGCTGTTCCCCCTCTACAGGGCACTTTTACTTCCATGCTACATGTGCCTAGTGTGTGTGTGGGGGAGATAGAACCAAGAGAGAGAAAAGGAACAAGGAGAGAAATAAAAGTCATGTAGACAGGAAAAAAAGAAATGTTTTTATTAGCAAAAGATGGTCTATGCAGAAAATTCCAAAGAACCTACAAAGACAAAAGTGGTAACTTTTAGAACTAATAATTGAGTTTATCAAGATTGTGGGATGGGATACAAGGTCAGAACAGAAAAGCCAAACAATCAATGAGCAATGTCATCAAGTTTAAAAAAAAAAAAAAAAAGCCAGCCTGTGGTGGTGCATACCTTTAAACCCAGCACTCGAGAGGCAGAGGCTGACAGATCTCTGTGAGTTCCAGGGCAGCCAAGGCTACACAGAGAAACTCTGTCTTGATAAAAACAAAAACAATCCCTTCAAAAGTATAAAAACAAGTGGAAATAGTACAAATACAAATCTAACAAAATAAAATAGAAGATAGTTCCATTTGTGGAAAACTATAAGACAGAGAAAGAAAGAGAGAGAGAAAGAAAGGAAAGAAAGAAAGAAGAAAGTGAGTTTTTCTATAGATTTTGACAAGCTGAGTCTAATAGCATATATAAAAAGGAAAGGAAACAGAAGAGCTAATGTAATTAGAAAAGAAATAGAGTTGTGGCAACCAACATAATCAACTCCAGGACTCAGTATTCAAATCTACACTAATCAAGATAAGGAAAATTGGAGGGAGGAGGAGGAAGAAGGAAGGAGTGAGGAGGAGGAGGAGGAGGAAGACAATGATGATGATGATGATGACAATAAAGGAGAAGGAGGAAGAGGAGAAGGGGAAAAAAAGGATAAGGAGAGGAAGGAGAAGGAGAAAAAGGAGGAGAGGGAGGAGGAGGAGGAGAGGGAGAGGACCCAGCAGTAGATGCATACAGAGTCACAAAGTTGCAAAGACACTATGTTGAGGAAATCTGATCAATGGCTGCAGGCAGACCAACTACAGTTTGGATGTGGCTTGCTCCCAAGATTCCTTGGATGCAGCTTATTCTTCACGTGGCAGTGTTGGAAGACCGTTAACATATGGAACCTAGTGGAAAGTCTGGATTAGCCCCACTCCACCGCTCTAGCTTCTTACCCACACAGTCAGCTCACTGATGCTATCACGGTGCCATTCATTAAAAGACAACTTAGCAGAGGGCACTCACCAGAGCCACCACCATGGGGTATACACTTTCAAACCCCCGAGACTGATCAAAACGTACCTTCATCTGTACCCAGGACCATCTTTAAATTTGCAAATGAAAATGAAAAGATAGGCACCAGCTGGAGGGAAGTGTCGCAAACCACGTGTCTGATAAAGGATTTGCATCAAAGAACTCCTAAAATACAGCAGTAAGAAATCCCAAGAGGGGGTAAAAGACGTGAAGAGGTACTATATATATATATAGAGAGAGAGAGAGAGAGAGAGAGAGAGTCCCTACCCTGACTGCAGATGTAAGGATCTGCTTACCAAGGCATCTTGGGAAAAGCAGAGCCACTGACAGAGGCAGAAATAGGCTTGGGGGTGGGGATGGAGCGGTACCCATCTCCCCTGGGGGAGTTTCCCTGTACAGTGCTGGAGTGACAGCACCCACAAGACGAACCCACAAATGCCAAAACAACAAAAACAAGAACAAACCCAACCAGGATGTTGGGGCAAGCCAGTAGGGGTGCAGACTGTGGCTAGTACGGCTGACTCCCTAACACATGTGTGACACGACCTTCCTGACAGAGAAGCGGTTAGATGTCTTCGGGAACAAGGGCAAGGGAACGATGCCAGGGTGACGCTCTGGCTGGCTCCATCCCCAGGTGGCTAAGTGAGCACACGCAGTGAGCAGAGTCAACAAGGAGGGCACGCAGCCTCCGGTGCTAGAGCCGAGGCTAAGCATGGCCTCTGTGCCGAACAGAGTCTAGCACTCCGCTTAGTGCACTTGCGTCGAGACACAGGCGAGCCCTGTGCACACAGGGACCTGGTGACATCGAAACCAGCTCTGCCCACCATGAAGGCTGCCACAGGGATGAAACAGCCAGCCTGGGCTTTCTTCTGTGGGGCATCTTGGAGAGGTGACTGACCCCAGAGCTCGGCAGGACACCAGGGAGCCCCAGACCTGTAAGCTAGAAAATGAGGAGACGCTCTGGCAATGGACAGGCCCAAGAGAGGGATGTAGCACGTGCAAGGGAACAATCGCCAGTGACTACAGCTGAGATCGTCAAAGGGCACCAATTGTTCAGGAGCACAGACAGCCATAAAGCAGACGGGAGTGCTCACCAACGCACTCATTCAGTGAAGACTCTAAAGACACACATCTTCCTCCAGAGGGACTCCCACGTAGTCACCGCAGAAAGCTCGCTGCGTAACCTGGGATGGGGTCCCTCTTCCCCTCGGGTGAAAACCAGCAGGCCTACACGCCTGGCAGATAACACTTTAACCAGATGACACAGGACAGTGTGGGTGCCAGGTGAGTGTGACAGGAAAACTCCTGAGGGGGAGAGGAATCTTTCCCAAACCTGTCATCTGGAGTATAACCAGCAGCAGGCATGGACAGACCCAATTTGAGGCATGTCCTACAGAACACGTGGCTGCAACTGTTCCACGTGGTCACAACCAAGGGAAAAGTCTGGAAGGCACCAACTAGGCCACCAAAAGAGGCAAAAGACCTGATGCTATAGGCTCCCTGGGTGGGGACTGGGCTTTGGTGACTCCAGTGTGTGCTGACTGGTTGAGTCAATGGTCTTCCAAGACAGCCACCAGTTAGTTGCGAGTTGGGCCCCGGATCCTCTATCCCAGGTGGCTACAGGAGCTACTAGAGCCCCAGCACAAGGCTTCCCATGTCTCTGCCTTCACCACCGAGCAGATGGGCCCATGTCCACCTGCCACTGCCTCTCAGAAGATGCCCACAGTCCATAGCCACATAGGCTGGGAGAGCAGGAAAGCTTGTGCATGGGTGCACATGTAAGTACGAGACCCATATCACCACACAGGCTCCTCTGCAGGCAGAGGGATGGGAAGGGTACCTCTCAACCAGCTCACCCATCCTCACCCCGCTATGCACACGGCTTTCCATGCAAAGCCCTCAGCTGTGAGGCTACAGCACTGGATGCCCTTTCCTGAGAACTGACATTCAAAGTGCGGTGCATAGGAAAGAAAAGAGACTGGTCACCCGGTTCACCTCGGTCAGAACACGGCCCTAGGGCAAGCAACACAGGAAATCAACTTACTTACCAGGAAACGGTGGCAATAAGTAGGCTTGCAAAAAGAGGAAAGGCCGTGTCATTGTCAACTCATTGACTGGCTGAGAGGGAAGAGAAAGAACACTTCAAGTGTCCCAGGCCTCGGGGCAGAACCAATCACCTCAGACATGCCCAGCTCCCAAAGAAGAAAACCCAGATCCCTTAGGGAGGGCCTGCAAAGACCTCCCAGGGGAAACAGCCTTTGTGAGACCCTGGGTTCAATTTGCAGCATGTACACATATATTTCACGCGTGCGCGCATGCGCCTACACACACACACACACACACACACACACACACACACACACACAGAAAGAGAGAGTTAAAAATGAGCTATCTCTTTTCTCTCCCTTTCAGACATCATGCTATAATGCAGAACCACCCCCAAAAGGTGCCATCTCATGCTGCCCTTGCTGACTGTGGCCCTACAGGCCCAAGCACCTTCCCCTCAGTATCAGGTACAGAGGGTAGTGTCTACCTTCTAAGCACAAAGTAGGGCAAGAGGAGCCTGACTTGGGGCCTGTGCTGCCCAGAAGTGGAAAGATGCTCAGCCCATGGATGCTCAGAACCAAGAGGACACGCTATCAAGGGCGCTTTCCGTTTTCTCTCCTCAGCCAAGAGTTCAACTGGATCATATGAAAATGAGGAAAGTCTACCAAGCTACTACAAGGAACACATATGACCAATTCTTGGGGCCTAAACCAGGGTCAGGGTTTCGAGTATGGTATCTGCTGTCAGTTTCCTCAACATACTTGGGGTGTCAACAGGCTGACAAGAACAAGCACGGCCCCACGCCCCAGACACTACGGTCTCACAGTTGAGGCTGGGAAGTCCTGTCCATGAATACTCAAGTTCAGAACCCAGTGCTTTGGGACAGCGGCAACAGATGATCTCGTTAGTTGCCCAGTGTCCCCTCTCCAGTCTCAACCTCCTGGGTGTTCCTTGCGGTTCAAGAAAGACACTGTCCAGGAGCAAGCCTGGTGTACAAAATACCTAGGCCCTGGGAGTAGTAAATAGAAGACAGAGCTGAAGCCAAGGGCCTGTCACTCACAGCTGCTCACTAAACCAAACACTGAATGCATTCTCTCCCATGTGGGTGACGATGACATCACCGGGCACATGTACACTGTGATGCATGAACGAGGCGCATGGCGGTTGACACATTAGTGGCCTGTTCAACAGGGTGAGTATCCCCAGGGACTGGAGACTGGAGGCCACATATCAGGATGACAAGCGAATCTTTACTGCTCTCAAGTACTGGCATGCCTCAGCTTCCATGGTTTCCTTGTTGCAGCCACACTGGGAGACGGAGTTAGGCACACCTGCCCTGCGTGGGGCTTACCCTTGTCATCTGCACGGGCGCCACACACACACACACACACACACACACACACACACACACACACACAC